TATGCGGAAATTCGCATAACTGAAAGATGAAAGAAATAGAAAAGAAATAAAAAATAAACTTTCGAGTAGAAGTGCAAAGGGGGTATGCGAGCAATATGCGGCAATTCGCATACCCCCTCGCATAAGTGAAATAACTGAAATATGAAAGAAATAAAAATAAAAAAAACTTTCGAGTAGAAGTGCGAAGGGGGTATGCGAGCAATATGCGGCAATTCGCATACCCCCTCGCATAACTGAAATAACTGAAAGATGAAAGAAATAAGAAAAAACTTTCGAGTAGAAGTTCTAAGGGGTATGCGAGCAATATTCGGTAATTCATATACCCCCTCGCATAAAGCCATAACTGAAAGATGAAAGAAATAAAAAAGAAATAAAAAATAAGATTTCGAGTAGAAGTGCGAAGGGGGTATGCCGTATGCGAGCAATATGCGGCAATTTCCATACCCCCTCGCATAAGTGAAATAAATGAAAGATGAAAGAAATAAAAAATAACTTTCGAGTAGAAGTGCGAAGGGGGTATGCGAGCAATATGGGAATCGCATACCCCTCGCACAACTGAAAGATGAAAGAAATACGAAAAAACTTATTATGCACCAACTCTGCGAATAATATGCGACGTTTGTATGTCGCAGTTGTATCGCAGAATAATTTTTTCGACTAATAGTCGCAGATTAATTCGCCTAATAAGAATAATTATTTAATAGGCGACAGACCAAATCGTACATCAAATCTCCGCATATTCATCGCAGAACAGTCGCATACTTTAATTCATAATTTTCTTGCCCATGCTCATACAGGTCGTCTATCTATCGCCTAGTCATCGCATATGTCTTCGTACTTTCTGGGGTAAAAAACTTAGCTTTTTATTGGCGGTGTGAAAAACTTAGTAGGTTCAAAACGGGGTGAAAATAGCTAATTTTACTTAAAATAAGTGATCCACCACGAAGAAATAATATTGAGTTTAAAAAATGCATAGTCAAGTTACTTTTTATTCATCTTTTTTAGTTTTTTTTTTCAAACGGATAAATTCATTAAAACTCCAAAACGTACAGAGTACAAGCAGACCAACAATGCCTAACAGCGTCAACTGAAGCAAACAAGAGAAAAGGAGGATGTAAAGACAACTCTTCCATCCTTTAACTAAGACTAAACCAACCAAAGGAAACACGAGAACCTAACCAAATAGAGAAGGAACTCAAAAATAGAGAAAGAACATGAGTTCCGATTTATTCATCACAAAAGAGTATATTGTTACATACAGATAACTTATTAATATCCATCCCAATCAAATTTTTTTACGTACAATCTATCACGCTTGCCACCCTCGTGGGCTATATAAATGCCATCACTTCTCGCTGACCAATAATAATAGGAATACGGTTCTTGTATAAATTTCGATTTGAAAACATTAAAACTTTTTTGTTTGGATCCCCACCACAAATGGCAGAAAAACAGAGTACGAGGTGACGGACAAAACTTCCAATCAAAATGTTGGTTAACCGAAAGAGTATGGAAGCCAAGTTCGTCATCTCCAGAAGCACAATGCAACGTCACTTGTTGGTTTGGAGGAAGATTGTTAATGACACTTATGTGAATTTCGTTTGCAAAGTGACAAGAATGTGCGATATGGAATATATTAAGCACAACGAGGAAAAAAAGCACCCAAGTTCCTTTCAAAGTGTGCTTCATTGTATTGTTTGAGGAATTCTTAAGTGCAATTGCTATTTAGAAACGCTCTTATTATATAGTGGTTTAGAATCTTAGGATATATGAAATCAAGTATGCTTATATTAGATTCTACAACAAGATTGATTGTTAGTGGAGAATATTGAAAATGAATATTATATTTATGTACATCAATAAGAAATTAAGTTAATTTATCATTCTTATTTGAAATAGTTAGAGAATATATCATTGATTCATACAAAAAAATTGTAAGAATATTGGTTTGGCAGTGTTCGACAAACCTAATTGTTTTCTAGAATATTTTTTTATTAGGCAAGCAAAATAAATTAAAGAAAAATTTTTTATTTATTTACTTGTGAATTAATTAAGTTCTTAGTATTTATTATTAACGATATATGGTATATATTTATTATAATATATATTATGGAGTCCTAATCCTTTAGGAGAAGGATTACATAATATATATCTTATATATATACTTGCCATATATGCCACATGCATTAATGAGCTTGATTCTATGCCATAATTAGTTTTTCTCTCTTTTGTAGGACAAGAAATAAGTGGCAAGGACTATGAAAGGATTAGGTTTTCATACATAAAGAATTCTGGACCTTCTAGAGAAGATCTAAGGAGGATTTGAAAAGATTCACCACAAGACTTTTGAAGATTTGGAAGATCGGCTATTTTAGGTAAGTCATGTTTCTACTCGAGTCTGAGAACACAAGATCTTCATTGGAAACTCAATTTTGAAGATCTCCAAATCATATACACGAATTCTACTTGAAGGAAACTTACTTTAAATGAAGGATTTCGTCTAAGATCTGAAAAGAATTAATTGAGAAGTAAATTGACTTCTAAAAGGAAAATGAGAAACTTGTGAAGACGCTTACCTTAAGGAGATTATATATAAGCCTACTCAAACAATCAATTGAAGTGAGTTGTTGCAATAGTCGAGTTCCTCATTCATCAGATTCAATTGAGTGTTTGAGAGTTTTTTTTTTTTTTTCTTATTCTTTTAATTTTGCTCATCCCAGCACTTCAGCGTTCTTACATTGCTGACAAACTAAGTTTGTTTAGTTTCCTTTTCTTTTACAAACACTTTTTAGTGCTTGGGAATTAAGTACTTCTGTAGGTGGGAGGGATTCTTAGCTATTGTAAAGTCCACAGTGGCCAGGGAAGTAATTGATAGGATCGGGTATAATGTTGGCTAGGCTAGGAGGGAATCCAAGTCGAGTAAGTCCAAGCTGTACTTTGTGGGATGCAAACCGATTTATCAATGAAAGAACTCTGAGGGGTAGTGGGAGGCTCCCCGAAGACATATATTTTTTATGTTGCTTCCACTTTCAATTGATTTCTTTGTGCTGCAACACAATTTAGTAATACAGAATTTATGTGTTCTAACACAAGCTGCGTTCATACATTGGTGTTGCAACATCATACTGCGTACTTTATACTCCCACACCCTCGTTTCTGAAATTATAAATGTATGATAAATAGAATTTATATTAAAAATGTTCAACCGGTTGATTAATTGTTTTGTAATAAATAATTAAAAATGTTCGGAACATATAACTTTATAAACTCGTAAATTAACAAATTTACTGAATTATTATAAACACCTTCACTTAAAACTATAAAGTTACGTGCACTTTGATATCATATATCTAAACATCATGATCTTATACTATTATATAAAAGACAAAATCATAATATGTTGGCATGGGACTTTTTATATCCAATTTTTAGGGTAATAATCAGACAAATATTTTGACATAGAAAACAATTAATTTCTGACATCTAATATCGAATGTAATTATAATCTATTACTATATAATAGAGAGAAGAAAAAATACAAAAATAGAATATAAGTTTCCCGGTCTTCTTTTCATTTTTTACCAATAAAGAATTTTTGTTTTTTTGAAAATTTTGGGTAAATCCTGCCTAAATGTATTTTGAATTTTTTTGGAAAAATTTTAAATCCAAACATTTAACAAAAGATTACATGCAGATTTTTTTGGTCCATCTTATCTCATCTTAATTAAGCACAGAAATCCATTAAAATTCGCAGCTGTTAGCTCGAGAAAGAGAATCCACAACATCATAAAATATTCGCTCATGCTCCGGGAGTAGAAAAAAATTATTAACTAATGTTTATAATGGGATTGCTTATAATTATTTAAATATACCTCCACAAAATAAAAGCAATAAAAATGTGTAGTTATTCCCTGCCATAAAATTCAAAGTGAACCAACTACAAATAACACAAGTTGACGATTTCATATATTTTAGAAAAGTTTATTTGTAAATTTGTTTTAATTTTATCAGCATAAATTCAGAAAAAGGTAATAAAAATTATCCAATTATATTAATAAGAACAATGTAATCACATTGTGTACACACTGTAATTGAAAAATATAAAGATCCGAATTGCATTCATGTTTATCCAATTATATTATTGCATAAAAAAGACACTATTTTAAATATACACATATATTTACCGTACATATCTAATAAACTCTTTATTTGGCAGTATCTTTCAATATATAGATATATTAATTATTTTAATATATGGCATAATTTCAACGATAATCTTATTGAAGGAATGACAAAATCGATATGGTAAATGACATAAAAATATCAAATAATATAAAAAAAAAAATTAATTCATATATCTGCAAGTATTTGCAATGCATATTCTAAGGAGAAATCGTAGATCTTTCAATATTAAATATATTCGAAAAAATTGTAACTAATATCAATTTATGATAGGGAATAACTGGTATCTATATAAATTGTAACCAATTTATGGTTGTAACCAATTATTTAAATATATCTACAAAAAATAAAAGCAATAAAAATGTGAAGTTATTCCCTACCATAACTAGTATGTATATAAATATATGAAAAGCTGGTTGCAGTGGATATGGAATATTGCGGCTGTTATAAGAAATTGATGATGATTCAATAAATTGGTATATATTCCTCTTGAAAATTAAAAATATCTTGGAACAAATATTGGTTAATAAAATTTAAAATTTGTAATTTAATTCTATAGAATTAATTAATAAATTTAAACGATAAGGTAACCGACAACGAATTTGAAAAATTGCAATATATATATATATATATATATAGAGAGAGAGAGAGAGAGAGAAGGGATCATATGAAAAAGGGAGATAATGAAAAAAATGAGAATAAATATACACCACAAGATCTGTGAAATTAACGGTCCAGATGTGCCAGGGCTGTTGACCACGCTGAAAATTAAGCGTTGGCATAGTTGTAATTTCATGAAACATTAAGGTAAATTTGGTATGTCGAAGGGCATAGTAGTAATTGATCATTGACAGGCTGACATACCCCATACCCTTTCTCTCCCACTCATTATCTTTCACCCCTCTCTCTCTCTCTCTTCGACCGACTGCGATCTCGCTTTCTCTCATCGATTAACTTTGTGTCGGCGCTCCATCTCAGTAGCAACCGGCGGTGTATCGATCGATAATAATACGTCTGAAGACGTCCGGCGAAGATGGAGAAGGTGCCGACGATCAACCGGACTGTGTTGTCGTCGTCGCGGCGAGGATGGATGCTGCTGCTGGTATCTGTTGTTGTCATCGACGGCGACGATATGGTTCTGGAAGGGCTAGAGGCGGTGTGGGTGGCCTGATAAGGACTCCGGCCGGTGGTGATTTGACAGTGGTGAGGATTGGGGATTTTGTAGATGTTGTGACTTGGGGTATTTTAGTCGCGCCGGCGGCGATGTGGTTCTGGAAGGGCTGGCAGCGGTGGGGGTGGCCTGATGGGGCTCCGGCGGGCGAGAATTTTGCAGAGTTGAGGATTGGGGGTATTTTTTAGGGGTTGTGATTTGGGGCTTTTTGGTCCTGCCGGCGGGTCGTGAACGGCGGCTGCTGGTTGCCGTCGTCGTCAATGGTGTTGTGCTGACAAGGCTGGCGGCGTTAGGGGCGGCTTGATGATGATGATGATGTGTCGGAGCATAGCTCCCGGAGGACATGACAATGGTAATTTTAGCTTCTTCTTTTTTTGGATTTCTTAAGATTTCTATGTCTTGGTGAGGATGCCATTTGCTAAATTATGAAAAAAGATTTGAGTTTTGTTGAGTAGTTTAGACTATGGCATCGTCTTATATGCACGATTTTCCTTCAAATGAATGACATGTGTATTGACTATAAATCATGTTATACGAATTCATCTTTATCGAACGAGAAAATCTTAGTCGTGTTGTGTTGTCTTCCCTCTATTGTAGGTTCGACTACATGTCAGTTTTTTATTTTTCATTTGAGAACTAAAGGTTTTGAAGATTCAACGAGTGGATAATGAATTCTCGTAGGCGAAAGTCTCTCTTGCTTTTTGGTTTTTTCCGAAGGACTGCACAAGGCGCGATCGATCTAAATTGTTGTTGCTTGACAGTGGTTCCGGCAATTGGAATTTGCAGCGGCTATTGGGGGATTTTTTGGGTTGGTTTTTGTAAATTAAACAAGGTATAGGGGTCTTTGTGCAACTTTTAAAAAGTTAATCTAGGTGTATAATTTTTTCCATATTAAATCTACTAGCCTGTATTTAGCTACTAGCCTCAAATGGAATAACTTCAACTGTTATATGCAGAATGAAGAATTGGTGAACAAACTTCAAAGCTTTCAATCTTGCAATAGTGTCATCTTATTATTTTGTCTTCTGTGAAGTTTGTTCTATAGCCTTTGACCAGCTCAATTGTTATTTTGTTTGTGATACTATTTTGTAATTTTTATTTTGTCTGTATATATCCCCTTGGGTACCATCCTGCTTTGTCATGTAAGGTTGGTACTCGGTTCAATCAGTTGGTTGAACGTCTGTAAAACGTTTCCTTGAGTTTTATTAAGTATTTTTATCGTGTGAAAAAACAATAAAAAGAATCTGTAAATTATTAAAAAAAAAATAATAAATGCACAACAATGATAAATGCACAATTGAATTAAATTATCCCAAATAATCAATTTTTTTTTATTTATATCAAAATTATATTTAATATGTTACTAATATTATTTATTATTTTTATATTATTTTAGGTTGAAAAAATTCTAGTTCGGTTGGTTTCATTGTTTATTGTGCAATCTGATTGTGTATTAAAGTGCAACGTGACGTTTTGTAAAGTGCAACGCGTTGTTTTATAAAGTGCAACGTACTGATGTATAAAGTGAACTACTGTAATTTTGATATGTTGCCATGCTTGTGTCGTGTGGATTATAGTATTATATATATCCATTTGTTTTATAATTATATTGCGTGACATTTTGGCGGGACACGTTTCACTTAAATCGTGGAGTTATGATAAAGTGCAACGTGTTGTTTTATAAAGTGCAACATGTTATGTTATAATGTGCAACTTGATGATATATAAAGTTCACTAATTTATATGATCCAAGTACAAATTATGTGTTTTTGAAACATGTAATTAGTAGATATAGTTGTACATTAAATTAACCTAAAGAATTTATATAGATTATTGTTTATTAAATAAAAAGATATTTATTATTTTAATATTTTTATATATTAAATTTTTACATATTAAAGTTAATAAAAATTGTCAAACTTTATTAATCATTAATATGCATTTATGAGAATATTGTTATAAAATTACATATTTGATCATGAATTAATTAAAAAAATACTCAAAAGTAATAAAATTACAAAATCGTCCCTTATCACTATCTATTTTCTTTTTTTTTTTAAAAAAAAATCAATTAAACCCTAAATCCCTAATTTTAATTTGCNTACATCTAATTAAAATAAATAATTAAAAATATCTTGTCATTTATTATTTTTATTATACAATTTATTTATTATTATGATTTATTTATGTACATTATATTATTTTATTTAATAACTAATTTGTTATTTAATACATATGCATAACTAAATATATAAAAAATCATTTATTATTAACATTCAATATTTACAGATTTGAACTATGTGGTTAAATTGAAATATAATTAAATTATTAAAATTGCAAATAAGTCCCTATAGATAATCTAATTCTCAACAAGAAGGCACATCCCCATAGCCCATTTTCAGAGCTTCACGTCCTTCGTATCACCGTCTCTGACATCGACGACGGCGAGGCTCGAGCGACAGGAGGCGGCGGACGTCGAGGCGACGGCGGCATAGGTCGACGGGGAATGTCGAGCCGACGGCGGCATAGGTCGAGGCAGCGGGCGGATGTCGGACTGCGGGTGTGAGGAGTGGTCGACGGCGACAGCGCCGCGATGAAGATCCGCTTGTCGCGATGGAGACGTCACCGGCAGAATGCTGCGGCGGGTCTGTGGCAAGCGGGTGGGCGGCGGCGATTGGCGGGGCTGCAGCAGACGTCGGAAGAATGCCGGCGTCCGTTGCTTCTGGTGGCTTTGCGGCGGTGATGGGCGGAGCATCGGAGAGAGGTCGGAGATGACGACGTCTGTGCGTGTTTTTATGTATCTGTGTGTGTAATGTGTGTGTGTGTGAGAGAGAGAGACAAATAAGACGTGTGTGTGGGGTGTAATGTGGTGGGGTAGGTGGGATTAGAGTAGTTGGTAGATAGTAGGTGTATTAATTGGAGTGAAACCCACCTTTTTCATTTTGGTGTGTAAAAATACTACAATACCCTTAATGAGGTATAATTTTGACTTTTTTTTAAGTTGTTGGATCATTCAATCCTATGACTGAGATTTATTCTCATTTCTATCATTAAGAACCATTCTCACTTGAACCCAACCTTATATATATATATATATATATATATATATATATATATATGTATATTATAAGGGAATTTAGTAAGGAGGGAGTCCTATTCCTAGAATTCTAGGTTGTACGTTGTGCCAAACCGATCTATTAATGACAGAGCTCTTAGCGGTAAAGGGACGCTATCTGAGAACATATATTTTTATATTGCCTCATGTTTTAATTTCATTGTTCGAACATCTCTTGCGTACTCTATTTACTTCCACGCCATTGTTTCATATATTGTAAAGTTTATACATTTATTTTCCGATAATCATTAAACTGACATTTTCTAATGATGATGTGAATATTCATAAAAAAGTGCCTCTTCCTTATACCTTTTTAAAGTCATATAGAGAGGGGCGAAAGATTTCAATAAGAAATTTCATAGAGTAAAAACTAAAAACTCATTATATCCCTTAAATAAATGATTATTAATGGTTGTGATTTAATTTAATGTATTAATTTGATTTGTAAATTTCCTCTGAACTGGGTTTGGATCGCTGGTGTCATGAACTGCCTTCAACTCATGCTCCGGTAACCTGCAAAACACGTCAGAGGGGTCCCGGCAGAAAACCTCTGATACTCAAGTTTTGTCTCGCTCATGAATTGTATGGTTGGATGTAAAATACATTACGCGTTATTTCTAAAGAACCTAGGAACCTTCTTTTAAATGAATGTTGTTTTATTACTCATGCAACCTCATAGATATCTCTCTCTATCTCGTTTTCTAGTATAACATGTCTACAAGATCTCCTATTTTTCAGCGAGATATACTTAATATCTTAAAATATGGGCTCCAAACTGAAAAGTCAAATAAGTAATTATTCATAATTTACGGGTCAATGTTAACTTGAACATAAATAAAATAGTCGATTATTCATAGTTTATTAAATTACTCAACTACTCAATTTCTATTTTTATTTTATTTGAACAACTTATACAAAAATAAAATCATGTTAATTAATGAAACAATATAAGTTCTATAATTATACTTATTATTCAAGTAGATTTTTAAATATATGATAAAATTTTGCCACAATAATTATTTTATCAAATCACATTGTTATCAAATCAAATTTATAAATAAAAATTTTAAATTGACACTTATTTTGAAATGAATATAATTAATTTATTATGAGTTACGTGCACCGTACAGGTTGTGTACTAATTTTAAATAGACATGTTTTATGTAATCTTGCAAATTTTAAATTTCATAACATTTTCAATAAATTAAAATAGATAAATTGTGTTACTTATTGGTTCTATATTTTTAATTTATTAATATTATCTGATAAGTACTTTTAATTTATAAATATTAATGAGTATGTCTTCTCCGTGCATCGCATGAGATCCGTACTAGTGAATTTCTAAATTCAACAAAAAAAGGGTAAATTCACTAAAAAATACACAAAGAACAATGCACCAAAATTTCCATTATTTAAATTTGCACATTTTCTACTCAGGAAATTTTACCTACAATTTCCATCATTTAATTAGCAGTCTTTTACGCATCAAAAATAACATGCCATTACTGGAATTTGTTTAAGGAATTCAACTTTGAAAGTGGAGAATAAAGAAAGGAAAACCAATATTATGTTGTCATTTTTGGAATATTTTGTTTTGTGATCTTTATTGTAATCAAATAATTTGATTTACTTAATTTTGGAATGAAATATATTTGATTGAATTTTTAAAGATATTGTATAATTAATTCACAAAGCTCAAATAATGCTAAATTGCTAAATATTCTTTTGGATGGACGACCGTCAAAATATGTTGCACTGCATGGATTAATTGCAAATTAACTCATAGATATTTACATAGCTTCTATGTAATCTTATATGTCAATTTTCATATTTTAGAGTAGTCCATGTAAAGATTTTGATTTTATCAATGCTCAATGGACTTTTGAAATTATAAAACTTTTGTAAAATATTACCTTTTGATGACTTCTTGTATTTGATATCTATATTGCGTATATAAAATAAAAAAATAATTATTTTAACCTTGCTAAATAAATAAATCTACGAATTCTAATTTAAAAATAATAAAATTCGTATTGATGAGTTAGAACAAATTTATACATCAAACATAATATGATATTAAGAAATAATAATAAACATGATATAAGAGATGCCAGTTTTTCTAAGAAACCAGTAAGTGGGTTTCATAATACAAACCAGATGCTTACGTGTAACTTATGTGGCCTAATTTT